GACGGATATGCAGGAAGTTTGGTTTCTAGTATTTGGATATTGGATCTGATGTTTTCTGACCGAAAATACTCACACAAGATAAAGGTTGAAGATGGAATGAATAGATCTCTCAATGATGAAGCTCTCTCAATTATCAACATTAAGAATCTGTATGTGTTCTGGTATATATAAATAGGTCAAGAAATCAATGGGTCGAGACAAAAGCCTTTAAAACGCAAAAATAAAATTTCCCGTATAAAGCTATCGCTCCAGCGAAGAGCCAACGACAGTCGAGCGGCAGTGCTTTGCTCGAGCGAAGGAGGGGCGATAGTCCAGCGAGGCAATTTCTATTTTTGTAGCTCGAGCCAACCCTTGGCGACAGTCTAGCGAAAATCCGCACCGTTTTCCTCATTGTTCCAAACTCGAAACCCTAAACATATTTAACTAACTTTCAAACAAATTGTACATTATTCCTTGAACTTTTACACTCTATCAAATTAAGTCATTTTGTTCATAGAATTAGCCAATTACAAAATCAACTAAAACCTAACACTCACTATTCTTCTTTCCAAGCTCAACTGTCATCACCCAATTTGAATCAGATTGTACTTCAGCGCCCTTTTGCCACACCCCAATATGGGGCTTTTCGGGGTCGAGCCTTAGGCAAGTGATAGAAGGATATTGCCATTTATCACACTTGCGAAGTTTAGCATCGAGAATTGATGAAAGAGAGGAGGAAGATGGCGACGTTGAAGAATTATCATTGCCATCTTCATTAGCCACAATAGGGAAGTTGGTTATTGCATTTCTTCCACTCATTAAAATTCGCAGCCTCGTCATAAGCTTTTGCTGCCTCCTCAGCGGTATCGAAAGTCCCCAACCACACCCTCCTCTTCCTGAAAAGAACTGAAAAACACAATCCATGAACAAGAATTAAAATTTAAAAAACCTAGTTTTAAGAAGTTTACAGTAGAGGATGGCGAATCTCGGACACCCAAGAACCTCAAATTCTTTGCCTGACGCCTCTGAACTTTTTGGAGTTTACCATGTTTTAGTTTCTCCGAGGTAAGATAGCAGACTAATTATAAGGCTCAAATTCTGTTGAGGGACATGCAAATAAAATGGGGTGAGGCTGAATGTGACGCGCTAAAGTTGTTTAGAGCTTACAATATGATGTTTAGTTCACCAGCAATAGCTGTTTTACGGTTGAAAAGTACTTACGGGTGTTTAACACCAGCTCTAATAGGCAGCATTTATTCATTTAGCACTACCGATGTTTAACATCAATTTAGGTGACAATACTAGTGACATTAAATTATAGATTTAATTAAATGAATTATATAATTTCACCTTTAATTTAACTCGTCACATGAAGATCCATAGACTAGTGCACTAATACTACTAGTGTTAGTTAATATTATTCTTAAATTAATTGTTGAGTTAAATTTAAAATTAAAATCTAGATTTTAAAAGAGGGGCTATATAAATTGTGGTTCTTGCTGTTTTGTTTTAAAATGTTGGTTCTAGATATAGACGCAACTAGTATCAAGTATACATTTAAACCAAAATCAGTAAAGAATTTAAGATTTTTTGACTTCAACCCAGAATGTTCAGTGATCACTTTTAATACTTAGCCCATCGTGAGCATCCGATAAGGATTATGCTGGAATCCACTAGAATAGCCTCATATCACAAGGCAAAAGTCAAAATTACAACAAATTCTTACACAGTCAAACAACCCTCTCAAAAATTAAAAAATATGAACACATCTCACTAAGAGGAGGTTATTGTTCATCTTATCACACAGAAACATCATCTTTTGAATGTTTTTTACTAAGAATATTGCGGAGTAAAGAAGACGACGAAGAACAAAGGAGCAGAGAAAATTCTAAAAAGCTAATAGGGTTTCATTATTCGCTTAAATGAGAGATAATCCTATATATATCACACATAAGCCAAACTTGGATTCAATGGCTCGAACTCCTCGATGTGTTGCTACCAACCAAGACAACATCTTTTTAAAATGTATAAAGCGACAAAGTCAGAAACACGATTTAACAAGCCAAGATAAGTACTCGATCAAATTTTGGGACGGGTCACAAATTCAAGTCACTAGCCGTATTCGATTTCTTTTAGGCTTAATATAATCAGCAACCCATTTATCCAACACAAGATGAAAACAATGTGATCTATAATTTGGCATCTTTTGCTATGTTTCACCTGGTTTTTATAGCTTGGACCAATTGTATGCCTTCCTTTATTTCGCAAGCTGTGCGGGACGATTTACTGTTAAGAGTATGCTGATTACTTGCAGAAAAACAAAAGGGGGCTGAGCTGATGGAATGACTTTTCCACGAAGACTTTGAGTACGAGTTATAGCATTAAACAGAAATGAAGTTGCATGCTGTCGGTTAGTACCTTTAGTGATACAATAGTCCTACAGATTGCCCCCACAAATCCCCCACAGCCATTACAAGTTTTAGGGCCTCTTCCTAGTCCTTTCTTTCTGGTTATTGTAGTACATATATATCCATTACAATCATGCTACTTATACAATCTTTTTTTACAATCTTAATTGACAACATCACATTTATTTATTTTAAAAACTGTTTTTTAAATTAATGTTTCAGATTTTGACAACATTAATGTTGTCAACCATGATTGTTAATAACAATTGTACAAGTAGGTAATTCTATCTTTTAATAAGTAATTAGTACGAGTCTGATGAGGTTATTTATAGAGGGTATGTTTCATTTGTAGTTATCTAAACTTTCCGTGAAATCTCAATTGAGTCACAAAACTCTTATTTATATTAATTTAATAATTGAACTTCAATTTTATTTTCATTTCATGATTCTATCACATTCTGCCCCACATCACTCTCCAAACTAACAAAATTTGTTCTGTAGTAACAATATTGCAATAATCTTCCATACTATACAATACCCTAAAAATGAAGGTGATGACAAAGTCTTTAGATTAAAATGTTAAATGTAAATTTATTTATTTTTTCCTATTTTAATACTTTTATGATATGGCATATTTACAATTTGGAAAGTCACGATGCGATTATCTGGAAGATCTATTAAGGTATTGTTGTCCATTAAGTAATTTTCATCAATTTAGAATACGGGAAGTAACAGAGTTGTGAAAATTTAAACTAAAATTAATATTCAATGACCAAATATTGATGTTAGATTCAAGTTCATACAATAAATTTTAATGAACCAATGTCACAGAAAGTTCAATGGTTGCATATAAAATTTACACTTCATGTATAATTGCACATTTACAATTTACCGTAAAGACAAAATTTGCAAAATGATATATTTTATTAATTACAAAACAAACGTAATCAATCATAAACTGCATGAAATAATAATTGATGTAAGGAGAACATATTGGCAAATTGAGGCCTATGTATTATACAGCATCCTTAAAGTAAATTCGTTCCCTGACCGTAAGTGCTTCAAGTTTTGTTTGACTACCCGTCTCTCAGGATACAATGGAGAAATCAATAGAAATTGAGCACTTAAATTTCTACATAAGCAAATTGAATTTGATCTGAACTATAACCAAAACTCTTCACATAAAGTGAAAAATTCCGAGAGGAAAGAAATTGGAAAGAAGATTAGAATTTTTGAGTGTGGAACAAAGGAAAAAACCGACCTATATAAAAGGCTCTAATGGGTGACTTAACAGACTCGTAGTTGTACATGTTACAATCATTAACACCATTATTAACCCCACCTGTTTCGAGAGTATTAGGAGTTAAGTTAGTTGTAAGAAAAAAAAATTATATAGGAAGTAAATGTAAAATGTGGACATTTCTAATGGGCCAATTTTTGTCTGGCATTCGTCTAAATTGGTCACGTTCGCACACAAGTTCAATGGTTCGAGTGCTAATTTCATATGTGATTTGCACTCCCAAGTGCACATACATAGAGATAGCATCTACGCTATACATGATTACACACTTTAAAAGTGCTGCCATATATAAACTAATCTTTGCCTATGTGGGACAAACTAAAATAGTTTTCCCTCCAACACATAAATTTCTTTCAATTGAACAAATTTGAACCCCAATTTTTCATTTACTCGAACATCATTTTTGACAAATAAATATATGATTTTGATGTTCTCATGAAGGAGAACCCGAATCAACTTTGATATTCTAACGTGAACAAATGGATCCCCTTTATTATGCCTAAACAACCTTATAGAAGCCATTTTTGTATCAATTTCCTACATTAATGAAAATTGAATTAGACACAGAAATGGAAAACATACAGACTTGATGATGAAGTTCAACGGTTGAAATATGCACAAGATATATAGACATTATCATTTGAACATTCTCTTGTAAAAATCCTTTTTTTTTGCACTAGCTGTAAGTGTTATGCCCTAATCCAATGCATCCTTAAAGTAAATTCGTTCCCCGACCGTAAGTCCTTCAAGTTTTGTTTGACTACCCGTCTCTCAGGATACAATGGAGAAATCAATAGAAATTGAGCACTTAAATTTCTACATCAGCAAATTGAATTTGATCTGAACTATAACCAAAACTCTTCACATAAAGTGAAAAATTCCGAGAGGAAAGAAATTGGGAAGAAGATGAGAATTTTTGAGTGTGGAACAAAGGAAAAAACCGACCTATATAAAAGGCTCTAAGGGGTGACTTAACTGACTCGTAGTTGTACATGTTACAATCATTAACACCATTATTAACCCTACCTGTTTAATCTTTCCATTAACAAGCTATGTATATATATAAGAGTTTCAAGAGTATTAGGAGTTAAGTTAGTTGTGAGAAAAAAAAAAATTATATAGGAAATAAATGTAAAATGTGGACCTTTCTAAGGGGCCAATTTTGGTCTGGCATTCGTCTAAATTAGTCGCGTTCGCACACAAGTTCAATGGTTCGAGGTGCCAATTGCATACATGATTTGCACCCCCAAGTGCACATACGTAGAGATAGAATCTATTCTATACATGATTACATACTTTAAAAGTGCGGCCATATATAAACTAATCTTTGCCTATGTGGGACAAACTAAAATAGTTTTCCCTCTAACACATAAATTTCTTTCAATTGAACAAATTTGAACCCCAATTTTTCATTCACTCGAACATTATTTTTGACAATAAATATATGATTTTGATGTTCTCATGAAGGAGAACATGAATCAACTTTGATAAGCTAACGTGAACAAATGGATCCCATTTATTATGCCTAAACCAGCCTTATAGAAGCCATTTTTTGTATCAATTTCCTAAATTAAAGAAAATTGAAATAGACACAGAAATGGTAAACATAAAGACTTAATGATGAAGTTCAACGGTTGAAATATGCATAGGATATATAGACATTACCGTTTGAACATTCTCTTGTAAAAATCTTTTTGTTTCACTAGCTGACCAGCAGAATCGTTGTGCCTTTTGTGTGAATAATTACATACTCCAAATGATTCTTTTCAACAGAATTCAGTTTTCATTGTTATATTTGTTTATGACTATGAAATTGCTTATGGTTCTGAGCATTTCTAAGAATTTGAGCCACGCACAATTTCAGTAGAAGCTGCCCCCACTTCTCTCTCACATAGCTCCTGTTTGAGCCCCATTATATAAAAAGTAATTTTTTTAAAATTAATTTCTAACTTCACATTTTTCCAATAAAATAATTTTACACATAAACTTACAACTCTTTCCTACTTTTTACTCACACATTCTTCAAAAAAATCATTATTACAAAATATATTCTTTCAAAAAATGGAGCTCAAACACACTCATAAGTCATTTCTTATTACAAGTTACCCACATTACCTCGCTCAATTTTCAATGAATAAGAATTATTAAAAGCTTATTATTTATCCTTCATAATTATGGGCATTATTGTTATGTCATAGGAGTAGACGTGGGGTGTT